GTAGGGTAACCTCAGGATTATAGCGACAACGGCACAGAACGAGGTGCTGCAACCTTAGGGGCGCATGAAACGTACAAATCCCATACACTTGTTTAAGGTTGCTGAGGCAAATTGCTTCATTCCAGACCCTTTTGTCACATATAGCATCGCAGCTATCGAGCGCTCGCTAAATCACTTTTCAACTGGTCAGAAGAATGAATCGAAAGACTTTAGAAATAAATCCATTGCCTTTCATAGGGATGCCAGCTCGCCCAAAGACTAGTCAGTCAAGATTTCAGAATATAAGCGGCGGTTTAGCCAAAAAGAACCAATCCAGTTTGTGAAAGCCTCTTAGGGTCAATGAATCCAATTCAACGAGAAGTTCAACTTGTCACTAACCTCGTAATCTTACGCGAAGCCCCTGCCCGCGTTTCTCGCATGTAACGAAGAAATCTTGACAGTACCTAAAAATATCGAGAATAAGGTTCATTAAGAGATACGAAAGTAGCAAACAACAGTTTAGGTTGCTCTCATAAAAAATTAGAGTTAAAGAAGTCACAGTGAATGCAGCACATACAACCTTTCACGGCGCACCGTGTCAGGGCGCTTCGACACAACAAAAAATGTTTACGCTTTGATGACACCGAGTAAGCTGCTCATCAGTGCAGAGAAAATACGCCATATCACAAACCGAAGGTACAAAAAACACCAACTTCCACCACTACTAACTGAACACACGCAGTGGGATAGCGGATCGCGAGCAGAATTCCTGATTGATTGACGCAGCGACGCGTACGCGCGCAGGCGTAGTCAAAACGAAGTTACTACTGGGGCAGGTTTGTTGACTACTTGAGATCGCTCGAGCACGGCTAGAGAAAAATAGACCGAACATTGCAAGAGTGTCTGTTTTCAGGATTTGTTTGAGTCCGTGCTCATTTTTCCTCGCTGTTTTTTGCTATCCAGCTCTTTTTTCGTTTATAATAGGGTGAGAACCAATTGTAGGGAGGGTTTTTGCATCGTAATGCTCCTTTCCAACGTTTTCACACTTACTTTTCTAGAACCACATTGCTTCGCTTCACTCCAATTAATTCTGTGCTGCTGAATTAGCCACTTTAAGTAATTAACTAATTATTCTATTGTTAAAATCTTAACTAATGTAAGAATTCTCATTATTGGTCAGAATGACTGATTGTGAAACATTTTTTGCATAAAACCGTAGGGTTTGACTATGACTGTGGATTTGAGTAAGGTAATTCACACAGCCGACCTCAAGCGCTCCTTCAGCAGCTGTTGGTGCTGCTTTATCACGAACCCTAACCGATATAGCGTCGCGTCAACTCCAACGTGTATCATGACCATAGAAAATCCTGGAAAGGAAGCCTGTTCACTACTAAGGAGAAGTGAATCAACCGTTGGTGTTATTACACTGTAAAAAGGAGATTTTAAATGAGTCTTCTGAACAAAAAAATCGTTGGGCATTAATTATTCCCGTCCGAAGGTTGCCATAACAGTTGCCATCGAATTTGTATCTCGAGAACGTGCCCTACCCTCCATGATCCTGATGTTTAGCGTTCCGAGTTGATGCAAAGTGGAAGCATTAGGAATAACACACACCCTTTGACCCTTCTGGCCACTATTTCAAAGCTGTTACAAAGGCCCATTTCATTGTAGACGTTATCAGCCTAAATGGATTCGCCGTGGAGTCTCAATTCTGAAGTCTTGGGTCGTCAATCAATACCATCTGAGGGATGCGCCCACGCATTCGACTACCATTCAGAGTCGTAGAGGCGCTTTGAATGTGTATGTGGCATATAACATGACTTGTAGTAGCCAGCCGATTTGCAAGTCATTGCTTTTATCCTCCTAGACGAGTCTGGTACAAATTAATCGAGAGGAATGAAAGGTTTGGTTGGCTTAGGCGGATGTCGTTCCGGGATTCGAACCCATGATCACGAACATGTACCCATGACCGCTTGCCAATAAACTACCTCCGGTCCTTCCGAATTCAAAAATAAAATTAGACACTATTATTTGTACATCAGCTTTATTGCCTTTGTGCTCTGGTAAACTCGGGAACCTGCTGGGCTAAAGTATCCGGTAAAGCTCTGTACATGTGGGTCTAACCGCGTTCCTGCTAGAGCCGGAAGAATTGCTGTAATTATCTTCTATTAACTTAAGTCCCATCAGATCACACCATGCTATGCGACGTTTGCTTTTAAGGGGAAATAGCTGTCCGATTATACTTGTAAAGCTGTGGGCTTTCATATTTGGTATTATTTGTATACCATTTTAATGAAAATCATATGAATGATTGAGATCACAAACAGCAAACTTGCGAATTCTTTAATTTATTCCCTGTTACTGACAGCAAAAACAATGAGGAGAGCGATATCAGCGGAAACCTCCAGGCAGTGCGGGCTACAAAACCCTTAACAGTATTGCTCAATCGAATAAAAAATCAGAATTTTTTTGTATTATCTACTGAGATTTAGCTTTCTTTCTGAGTGCAGCTTGTCGTGTTCCCTTGCTGAAGTTAGTAATGACCTTGTTCAACACCACGGCAGGGATGAGATTTGACACTTCCACCTGAAAATAAAGGATTTGTGAAGGGGTATGAGGTTGTACCATAAAAATCTGTTTGAATCTGTGAAATGAAGGTTAATTTTTTCGAACCTGGATTTGATGGGACAGACAACCTGAAGTTTCTTCAATAAGACCGATACTTCTAACCGCAGACTTTGCGAACACTTCACCATTGGGTACAAAGAAGGATGTTTTACGAACCTTAACACAAAAAATACATAAAGAAAAATAATCGAAGCAAGCACAATTGAAGAGCACCATACTGAAAAAAAAAGAAAAAAGACAGTGAAGCGGCTACCTTGCTCATTTTTGTAGCCACCATCATAGGACAGATTGTTTGAATAGTTATACCCTTATCCGCATATTCCATACGCAGAATCTGTGACAACCATGTCACATACTTCTGAAATAGCTATTGCCTGTGGATCTACATGAAAATGTAGAGAATGAGTTCGCCTGCCTTGGTAGCGGAGTAGACAGCCCAAAGTGCCATGTGGTTGTAGCAGGCGGCAGATGAGACATTAACAATTATGCCTTTCTTACGTGGTAACATCTGCTTGATAACATGAGCGGTAAGCTGGAACGATGCAGAAGATTACGCTCGTGTGATGAATTTGAAAAACAGAAGGAAAATTATGCTCAAAGTCGAAGCTGAGCTCGAACTCAAATAACAATTGTGTAACAAAGACAGGATATTGTTGGAATCGAGCTCACAATAGTTGTAGGCAGAGTGTTAATTGTGGTGATGTTGCCAATGCGTTGGAGACCTCCTTCGATCTCGTGAAGAATCTAAGCAATCCCGAAATCGTACGGAATTATTGCTCCAATAAACAAGCGTCATCAAATCAAATTACCTCTGGGTACTCATAACTCATGCCGACGTTATTGACAAGAATCCCAACATCAACCTTATCAAGAGCTTCAAGGAGTGGTTTGTATGCATCTACGGAGCCAGTGCAAAAGTCAAACGCTATAGTCTTGACAGAAACCTCAACAATGTAAAGGTCAAGCACTCCTCTGCCTTTGAAGAACATTTGACCAAGAAAGAATAGTTAAAACCAAGCTGCCACCTTATTGTATTTCTGGCTGAGATCCTTCTCCACTTCATCGAGCTTTGACTGTGTTCGAGAAACAAGGTATATGTTGAAGCCTTTACTGGCTAATTCGTAAGCATAGGCCTTGCCAATACCATCCGTCGCACCGGTCACAACTAAAATCTGACACATCTACTGATAAACGATGTAGTAAATTTTAGGAATGCAGAATGGCGACCATATTCATTTCCCCTCGACTGAAGTACAAAGATCCCACTCTGAGGTACAAAGATGCTAGTCCCGAGAAAGGTCATGATAAATATAATACATATGATATGTCTCTCAGCTATGGACAGTGAGTTCGTTTCAGAGCGGCTCGGTAGGGCCAGCAAATACGAGCAGCCTTTTACAGTCTCTGCATGTCACTGTCGCGATCAGCGATACTATGAAGAGATGGCATCAACATCAGGACGCCAGCCACGTCCCTTTCCTCCCTGCTCCTTTCTTAATCATTCACCAGAAGGTAAGCAGTGGATGTGCTCAAAACAGCTGTTTCTACAAGGATACCTCTTCAAGCCGAGCTACTATATTTTTCCCACACGCTCTCCTTACTTCAGCAGCCATTAACCCCTAAATACCCAGAACTGCATGTTTCTCAACCCTAATCAAGTAGTTGAGATTGAAATCAACAAGTTACGGCCTTCGTGTTACTGCTACAATAGGAAGATGGGTGGCACATGAGGATTCGTTCGAGTCGAAAAACTGTGAAAAAAGAAAATGGGGAAGCGAACCTGCCCATTTGGCTCCTGCCGTCGTGTGCAAATCAATAGGTGCACCAATTAGATAAGGATAGATGATGTTATATACAAGGGTGACGAGTTTGTAAGCAACAAACCCTAGAAGACAATATCCCGCACTGACCAGTAAGCAGTCGCAACCCATAGTGCCTAAATAGAGAACGATGTAAACGATTTTTGACTTACAAACGAAGAACCTGCTCTTCTTCGCCCGACACATAGTTGAAGCTCTCTGAATTCTTTACATAACACAGTAGAAGATGAAAAAACCTCAGCAGGACAATAGGAAAATAGGCATCGAGTACTTTATTTATAAAAACCAGTTTGATACATGCGCCATGTAAATAAGCTAGAAGTTGCGGCGTTATTGCAACCAGAAACACACAGACACTACAGATTTTGCAACGTTAGCGACGGTTTATCAGTGGCGCAAAAAAGTAGGAAATGGCACCGAAAGTGGTATGATACCACGCCACGCCCGATCGTCTTCAAACCTAACGCCGACACGAAATTGATTGCCGGTAATTTCTGTTCGTTCAAGAAACCCGACAAAAGCCTGGGATCTTATTCTGGAAAGGTGCGGACAGATATAGCAAAAGCAAACCATCGAACCAAATAATTAATTAACAAAGCAAAAGTTGGTTCATCACAAATTCCACAATAAATTCGAAACGCTGACGAAATCGACTTAAACTATGAGGGAACATGTGCAGAAGTTATTAAGGAGCTCAAATCAGTCCAGGTCCATTTCATCGTCGTCAGTCTTTCCACGCTTCGGTTCTGGCTCCTTGACGGGTTCCTCGGTGTCTTCATCCTGCACTTCAACAGCTGTTTCTTCACTGGCGCTTGCTGCCGGTTCTTTAGTTGATTGAGCACCTTCAAGACCGCGTTCTGCTTCAGTCAACTTTCTAGCAAACTCCAGCAAATCTGAAAGCATAAGCAATTTCTGAGATTCAAAAAACACTTCTTTTCAAACAGCTTTCTAAAGCCTCAAACATATAAATCCCGACTGCCATTTTACACACATTTGAATTTCATTGGATATTTTTCAAAGACTCGTACTCGTTTTGGAAGAATCGAAACATTTGACACTAGAGTAGATTTGGTAAGCACTTTCAAGGTTGGCTCGAAACAACAAAAGTAACAGAAGCCTTCACCTTATGCTGTTCGAAGCGATTTCACAGCCAATAATAGAGAGCTATCTACCTAATACTAATTCCGCCTTCAAAAAAGTGCTTAGGCGTTTTCGTCAAAAGACACCGCGGTGAACGTCGAATATGATTCGTCCGCGCAGTAATTTCACTTCACTTATACTTGAAAATAACAAACTTCCAGAAGCAGCCGCTTGCGCTGCTCCTTCGCTGATGCCAAACCGTTCAAGGACAGGAGCCATTTGTCCAGTGGATAAGGCATGTCCAAAAGTGTTGGCAGCCTTAAACGGAAACTAACACAAAAAATCACCACTCGTGCGCCAGAAATCCAGTCAAAAATAAAACAAACGGCGTTCATTTTTTCGATAACTGGTAGGCAAAGTGGCTTCAAGGCATCGGTGTTCCTAAGCTTCCACTTGAGTCTGATACAATTCGGCCTACTTTGAAGAGACAAAACCCCTTCCTTTTTGGGTTAGTTGGTACCAAACTCCAATAAGAGGGTGAAAGCACTGGAATGTGCACAGAGAGGCCGCATAAGCCCCTCTACGGAGCAATCACGTATAAAAAAACTGCTCTGATTCAGAAAAAATTGGACTAGTGCGTATCAGCGTGAAGGAAGTGCATGAACCATTGAAATTACCACAAAAAGAAGCTGAACTTGTGCATTGTTGGTTAGAGAACGAAATCCGCTGCAGCTTTTCTCAATGTACTTTTTCCTAAATTTCAAATTTTGAGTTTCAGCAACTTACTTGTCTGTAATGTGGAGAACGAACAGTGTCTTCCAAAGCTTTCTTTGTATCTGGAGCCGTTTTGTCTTCTACGGGCATGTGATTGAGAAGGCGGTCTTGAAAAGTGCGCATTCAAATCTATGGAATCGTGGGGAAGACGATCTATCACTGATGGTCTAATTCTACAAGAAAAACGGTGAAGTACCACTCACCTGCATTATTTTTTGCTGTTTCGACTACCTGTCCCCCAGCTATTACATCACTCAGCTCAATCGCCACCTGGCGATCTTGCGATGAACTCCCACCTGCACCTCCTGGAGCTCTCAGCCCTCCAAGCAAAGTTTGAAGCTGTGTAAGTTCAGAGGCAGAGACTGAAAATCGTCTATTGGGTTGTAACATAAGTTCGTAGAGTTTTGCGTTAGAAATATTTTACAAAGATTTGTTTTGTTTTTCAGCAAAGTGTATACATTCATTCGAAAGAGCTCTTTCTCCTCTACAAAACTTTTATATTTGTTTTTTGAACAATCTAACTGTTCGTCTTTTTTCTGGCTCAGAAATGGAATATCTAGGAGGAAAAAATCAGCATTTTCGACATCTGCTTTTTTTTGCTTTTCATCGAGGTCAAAAAGCAGCCGAAGCCGCTCCGGACAATGCGGTGTGTACGGGGAAAGTGTCTACTGCATAAAAATGGTTTGCAAAGTTTAAAAATGGCGACTTTGCCCTCGAAGGAACGCCTCGAAGCGGACGAGCTGCAGAATTCGACAAAGAGCATCTGAGGCAATATTGGAGGAAGATGGTAGCCAAACAACTCGTGAATTGGCTGATTATTATAATAATTTGTTAAATAATTCTTTATTATATTTATTACTATTTTTTCAAATAAACTTTTGTGAAAAAACTCTACGAACTTATGTTACAACCTAATAGTTTTCATTATGTGCAAAGGTTCATCAGAATACGTGAAAAATGATCAACCTTTGGGTGCGTTTCCTGAAGCTCCGCGTTCCGAATTACCTCCTGAAGGCGTTTGAGGTACTAGCGATGGTGAGTCAGAACTCCCCTGAAAATACATTAGCAATTAGAAAAGTGGATTCAGGTATCGAAAAACTTGCACGCACTTGGTTCATGAACTGTAGAAGCTGCATCAATTGCTGCTGATCAAGCCCTCCAAGTGCACCCAGTTCCTAAAACAACCATATATTCATCCATTTATCAGAGTAATACGGTTAGGTGCTTTACAAATAGTATTAATTTATAGTTTTGTATTACATTTAGAAATGAGCTTAGGAATAGTCTCCCAATTACTTTACATCATGTATAGGTCCCTTCCAAATGCAGTAAAAACTACGAAGGCAGTTTGTAAACAAGAATGAAGAATGTCCCGAAATGGTAGGGGTTACTGCCGTGACCTAGTGCAACGCCTTTATGCCTAGCAGGGTATTTGAGGTGAGTTCGAGGAATATAAGTCTAAACATTGATACAATTCACCTATACCATTCCTATCCGTCTTTTAAGAAATCAAGCTTGCTTAGCTACTTCTGTTCACCTAAGAAAAGAGCAGCAAAACGGAAGCTTCATTAAGACGGTCTCCGTGCGTGTTCATAGCGTTTTTATCGACAGTCTAATGACCGTCTCTGTCTTCAAATTTCATATAGGCTCCTGACAAAAGCTCTCTTCAATGTGCACTCAACCATCTTGATGGAGATGAAGCCAAGAAGCAAGGAATGTGGTGTACCCGTCTGAGTTCTCGTGAGCTTATTTCACTGCTTTCAGCTTGTTTTGATTCCAGTTTTGAAGTTGGAGTAAGCCGATGAATTTGATTCTAACTTATTTCAACGTCTGTTTTCACGAGGTTCTGCAGATGAATCAATTAAGCGTGCATAAGACAAGGAGATTACTACATAGTCATAGTAAGCAGAACTGCGAAAGTAGAGTAGTTTGCAACTATTAACAGCAGCGAAATAGTAAAAAGGCAAGTTATGCGGCTTCCAATTAAACGCGGAAATTTTAAGGTGCGAGTGTGAACATCAAAACATATTGTGAAATCAGTTTGGCGAATTTATAAATCAGTAAGAAGACCGTACCTCACTCCCGCTGAGGCCCGCTAAATTAGCCGTTGATAATCCTCCAGTGGATCTTTCCGAAGAACCTCCTCGAGCACTAGCACGAGTGGTTGGCGGCTTGTTGAGAGCATCGTTTACCTGAAAAGGCAGGAATAAAGATATTAGCAGAGAAACTAGTATCACCCATCAGATAAGTGTTCCCCTAGCAGTGCAATTTTTAGTGGTATAGGCAAATGAGAAGAAGAGAGAAGAAAGAAAAATACTTTGGGACCATCAAAGCTGATTAATCGCGCTTACCTTCTTACAGAGATCCTTGTCAGCATCCGCATTGCCATCCTGAATCCAGAAAAGTCGACGCTCATCAGAAGTTTTGAACTTCAACATGTAGACTTTGCCATCGGGACATCCTTTCACCTCCTTGAACTCAGTGTCACCCGGGAATATGATAAGGTCCTGAAAAGCAGGAAAGGATCGAAATCGATCAACTAACATTAAGAGAAAATATAGTAGAAGGAAAAGAGACGTACATCAACCACCGCGCCTGTTTCCCTGTTTTTCCAACAGAAATGCATGAGCTGATCATTTGACTGCTTGATGAACACTTGTCCTTTTGTTTTGTCAGCAACTACCTTGAATCAAAAAATGCTGAACGAAGTAGTCTCCAATTTGATTGATTATCGTGTTTTGTACATGTGAGGGCTGATAAACTGAGCTCAACATAAGAATGAGAAGCAGAAGTCGAGGATGACAGATCCCGACAGTTCAAAGCAATTTCGTGATTGTGGGTAGCCATAAATTTACTATATATCAATCCAATCAGTCGAAACCGTGAAAGGACCTAATCAATCAGAAGGTACCCTACGCTGGCAGTGGATTCCACGATTACGCAAACGACTTCAGTCATTTCCCTCCATGGCCGTTATCATGCACCCTGCCAGTACAAAATAAATAGTGGTAATACTATGCCGAAAATTTGCTCTTTTGCACAGGCAGTTCGTGAGCCATAAACTAGAGTACTTCTAAAAAACTCAATAGCAAGAGTTTCATGAAAGGTAACCAACCTTCTTTTTATTCGGGGCGGTTGCAGGTTGGAGAAAAGAACGCCCGGCCTGAAATACGATAGCATTATATTGCGAGAGCATCACTATCATACGATATTTGAGCCTCTTTTGAAAGCAACCCATAAAAACGAACCTTAAACTCCACAAGGTTTCCACTGGAGGAACCTCCCTGAGAAGAGCGGGATGTAGAAAACATTGCACTCATTTTACTGTAGCTCTGTTAGACTGGCAAGTATGAGAAACTCTAAAACAAAGCGTTTTAGTGCAATATCCATATGAAAAGTACACATGCTCTTCCATTTTCTCTGAAAGCAAACAAAACTGCTCAGAATGAGAAGATATTATGGCAAACTATTACAGCAAATCAGCATGGCTTTCAGATCACCAAGTACCATTCAGTATGCAGATTTCAAATTTGCATTTAAGGCTATCTTCCTTTTTTTTCTTGCGCTTTCAAATATGGACGCATGAACCAAGCGATGGTTTTGGTGCTAGTTGGCAGAAGACAGATTCTTGGTCTGATTCTGGGAAGACCGAAAGCTCTCCGCCGGGGCAATGGTACGGAAAGGAAAACTGGCGGAACTGCATATCCAATTCTGTCTTGGTTAATAGGTAGCCAGGTAGACATAGCTGTTGTGAAAACCGCAGTAGAAGTCGTAAATTACATTTCCTGTTGAATTCTGAATGCAGAGACTTTTCCAAGGGGACGTTGAAGACGAGCTGTCCTAGTCTTGTAGCTGGCGATGTCTGACGGGATTGCCATTGAATCTCCAAACCTCGTGCGGTAACCTTAATCGACTCTTCAGTATCAGATCTCGGTGAAAATGTAGTTGGGGGGTGCCAGCGCCCTTCCGTCTCGTTGCTCTGCGTCCCTGACCCAGGCGGCAGAGTACCCAGAGACCGCACCGGAGCGCACATATTACCTCGTAATAGTGATAGGGAATGTACTCTTTAGCAAGGGGAGGAGCTCCGGGGTGGGTGAGAAGTAAACGTTGTGCAAGAAGTAGAAATGATTAGAATAACACTTGCGCTATGTTTACTTCTCACCCACCCCGGAGCTCCTTCCCTTGCTAAAGAATACGTTCCCTATCACTATTGAGAGGCCATATCCGCGCTCCAGTGCGTTCTCTGGGTACTCTGCCGCCTGGGCAGAGACGCAGAGCAACGAGACGGAAGGGCGCTGGCACCCCCCAACTACATTTTCACCCAGATCTCTTTTATCTGCAACTTCGCTACCTCGGACATCAACTGGTTAATGCCTGCAACTCACAGGATCTCACAAAAGAATCACGATTGGCGCTATTCGTCCCCAAATTCCCTCAGCAGGCCGCAACGGTCCCTCGACGACTACCGTACCTTTCCTCTGAGAATCCAAACCTTCCCCTTCATAACACGCCACAGCGTGCAATCGGGTGTGAGCGGGCGTGACACGATTTCTGGGAATAAGTTACCACACCCATCAAATCGAGCCATTTTCGGAAAAGAAGACGTCACTTGGAGATCTATAGACTCTGCATTTCTTCATTACTGTGAAAGAGTTCAACATGCCGGCTGTATTCCTGGTCGATGTTGCCGAAAACGGAATCATCTTCTGAAGCCGACAGTGACTCGAAGGAAATGTGATCTCCCAACTTTTCAATTGAGGTACAAGGAGACATAGAATTTGGAACTAAAGCCTCTCTCCCCGCACTCAGTGCAGAAGGAAGGATGCCTGTCGATATTTATCACAAGGATTAAAGCGACGTTAGGCGTCAGACTACTGATTAAGTAGAAATAGCAAGAATAGTACTGCATTTCCTGCAAAGCCACATCACTCTACCCAAATACCATCGATTGGCTCTTGCGTAAAAGCATGTTCAAAGCGACATAGGTATCTAGAAAGCTTCCGATAGAGCTTACAGTACTAATAAGCTAGGATAAAAGATGAAATCAAGAACTGAAGAGGAGAAAATGCAATAATCCACAAAACGATGACATAAAAGTCGCCGGAAGTGAAGCGTCGACCGCAATCACGTATTGCTACTTGAGCGAACATTTGCCAACGGAGCACATAAGCTACTGGCTTCATACCCATCTTCTTTGCGTTTTCTTGAAGATTCTTGAATTCTTGAATTCTTGAAGAATAATTTCGAACCCTGGAGCCGTTCTTCAACTATGGTAGCGTTGCCATGGCGGAGATGGTTGAACTCGGTGGGAGGAGAGGTATGTTCAGCTTAAACTTGTGCATTTGTTATAAACAAAAAGGTACAATTTGTTTGATTTATTTGAAACTTATGGCAGATTTCTCTTACAAGTACTCTGTTCTCCGATTTCTTATTGAACCAGTATAGTAAATAATATGGAATGGCGAAATAGTCGCGAGATTAATCGTGTACGAAGATCGGGACGCACGAACGAGATGGTCTTCGTACATAGCATGATGTAGAATATGGTAAAACTTCTGAAAGAAAGCTTCTAATGGCAATCGGTTGTCATGATGTCTCATTGCAGCTTCTATTCAATCGAAACAAACCTGCAATAGGTCCCTAATCTGGTAAGCTCTTTCAGTAAAACACCTCCATTGAGAGGATTTCTGATATTAGAGTTTAAAACTTGTATAAAAAGGCATGTGTATTCTACACGATGGATTAGACTGTGCACATACATGCAATCTTGCACATGTAGATGGTATGCTGGCGCTCAAAAATTGGTCAGGGTCTATACCTGGACCATTTGTTGGAGCGGTAGTATGGAAATCAGCTACAAACGAGTGTCCATGTGCCACCCATTGAAGGCGAAGCAACGATCGGATACATCGCTGTCATTTCCTCATTATTAAAAGGCGCGAAAATGGCGTGAAACTCAGTTTCCAGAAAATGTTGGCTTGAGCCATATCTAGCTACACTGTGTTTGTCATATTTTTTTTAGGGAACTAGGAGGGGTTGCGGCTGCTATTTCATTTGCTCGTCTAGATGGATCGTAGACCTAAGTACTGCAACCGTTTCGATTTGAGACATTTCAAATGAAACGATAAGCACTGCTATACATATACCCTTTGGGGCGCCATAGGTACCATTACGAGTTGTGCTGACTGAGCTGTGAAAAACGCAGCAGGATCAGACTAGTATGGCGTTCCCCGCTTTGCTCAACTGGAGAAAACGCACTGAACTTCTCCATAGATGATATAAAATTGGAATATTCTATTCTGCAGCAGATTTTGCTGTTGGAAAGAGAGATTGGGAAGCATAAAATTCCTCATAGAATTAATCTATCGAGTCCCTGTCGCGCGGCCTCATGCATGAACACTGCTCAGCAACTGTAGTGACTCAGATATAAATGCGTAAAAACTCGTCGTCATTTATCCGTTTTCAGGTCCGAGTGCGGTTCGCACCCAGTCCAACTGGACATCTTCACCTTGGAAGCTTGAGAACGGCGTTGTACAACTTTTTATTCGCTAGACATCATAAAGGATCTTTCATCCTTCGCATAGAAGACACCGACAGAGCACGAATAGTTCCTGGCAGTGTTAGCAGCGTACGTCTTGTAGATTTTTCTCTTCAAACACTGCTCTGAGAGGGGTTCAATTTCGCAGCTTTTTGTAGATCGAAAGGATACTGGATCATTACGGTTTACATTACGATGAAGGGCCTCGAAAAGGAGGAAATTATGGACCTTATCAGCAGTCCGAAAGGCTACCACTGTATAAGGATGCTGTGAATCAACTAATTGACTCTGGGCACGCATACCGCTGTTTTTGTTCGGAAGATGTAAGCTTTTGATCTTTCTAGCATGGAATACCTTTCTGAAAACGTGCTTCAGCGTTTAGCATTGCTTCGCAAAGACGCGGCGAGGCGAGGAGAAACTCCCAAATATGACAGGAGGTGTCGCACCATAGAGGAAGGCGAGTCGCGTGCACGTGTTGATGCTGGAGAGCCGTTTGTGGTTCGTCTGAAGCTTGACAAACAAGATGTTTCCTTTGAGGTTCGCTTTCTCCCGATTCTTTATTTCCGTTCTGGTTTGTGATAGTGTGGTTCGCGTAATTCTGACAAAGCTTGTGATTTTAGGACGAAATTTTTGGTCCAGTAGATCAGTGCATCGACGAAAGTGACATGGTACTCCTAAAAAGTGATGGATTTCCCACATATCACCTCGCAAACATAGTAGATGATCGAGCCATGCACATCTCTCACGTCATCCGTGGAATGGAATGGTTAAGTAGTACGGGTAAACATGTGCTTTTGTATAAGTAAGTACAGAATGCTTTGTTGATGGACTTTGAAGTATCTCTATGGTTTTAGGGCGTTTGGATGGCCAGCACCAAAATGGCTTCACCTTTCCCTCATAACTCGAGATGGCAAGAAGAAACTTTCTAAAAGGGATAAGGATGCGTTCGTGGATTACTATGAGCAGGAACTGGGTGCACTTCCAAGCGCTGTTTTGAATTTGCTCGTGCGTGGACGAAACTGTCAGTTTCTCACATTTATGTTATTATTTCTTAATCTTCGTTCTCCTCAGATTCGAAATGGCAGTGGAATCCGTGACTTCAACACCGCTCATCTCTATAGCCTTGATGAAATGATAGCAAATTTCGACGAGCACTGCATCGGGAAACGCAACCTACAGGTTTCTAGAAAGCTGGATCTGATGCACCAGATTTCAATCTGTTTTTCAGCTCGACCGGGAGGCTCTAGATAGATATGGCCGGATGGCCTTTCAAATGTCAGACTTTGAGACAGACTTGTTACCTGCAATAGTTCGGTTAATCAAGCGTGACTTGTCACATGTTCAAGTACCAGACGTTGATCACCTGAGAAAGGTAAGACGACATGAAACTCATTTATGCAAAGTGTAAACAGTCTTTAAATCAGGTAGTGGACTTTCTAAAAGCAAATGAGGAAAGCTTTGCGTTTTTATCTTCTCTGACGAAGGGAGATTTCCAATGGCTCTTGATGAAACCTACATCAGCTGAACGAGTCTTGACGGTGTTCGACCGAGAAACTGCTCTCGAATTTCTGACGTATCTCCAAGATTGTGGTAAGTTATGTGTACTGCTTATAACACAGAGTGTGGTCGACCTAATTTTGCCAGATTGTCCAAAGCAGAATGGCACTGATTCCCCTAAGTCTCGCAAAAGCGATTACACTTTGAAATTTTGTCGGCACTTTGAAGTGTGATTATGCTGACTACATAAAGTGCCCTCTGCAGTGTTAGGTTTTGGCTAAAAACATCCGCTGTCCAGCACGAAAACATGTTAAGGAATGTCAGCGTATAGTTCTATGAAGGATAATGATGGCAGAATGAACTAGCCCGAAGTCTTTTACGATTTTTCAAAAGAGATTCATCTGACAGTATTTCTCACTTAATATCTGACCTTGAGACATGTGGTAAACTTGTAGCATTAAAAAACAGCAGATCATAAGCGATTGCCTTTTTACTGGAACAAATGTTTCGAGCAGTTATCTCTTGCTTGTCTACCCCTTCTGAACAGTGCTTCAAACACGACTGAAACCCTGCTTTGCTTATCGGGGGCAATGAAACGGTAATAAGCACCGCTATTTATTGTTAGACATCAAGCCACGCTGCATAGTACACTTCATTTTTAGAATCTCTTGATCTTGATGGACTGAAAAGATCAGCAGAACACCACGGATGGCGATACACTAAGCTTCTTGCCCTAATCCGAGTAAGCTTGATCGATAGTACGAAGGGACCACCTATCAAAGAGTTAGTGTCGTTTTTCGGTGTCGAAGAATGCCGGAAGCGATTCAGTGACCTGATTGACTTTATCCATTCCTATTCAGCTAGTTCGGTTATGAATGAATAAATAGTTCTTTATGGTCTTTCGCTTCTTTCAAAAAGAGCAGCTTGGTCATTTGCTTTTAAAGCTCTAAGGACCTCTGGAAAAGAAATCAAATCGACTCTGTCCTTTTCAAATATGTCTACTGAAACTGGATTCCAGTTAGTCCAAGGTTCAGTATGAGAAGTTTCCGCCGCATTTGAAGGGCACATCCCAAAAACAGGACTGATTAACGTCAAAGGCTTATCCTTTATCCTGTTAGAGTGCAGTTAAGTGCAGTGAAGGTGCAAGCCTACAGTATGTCTCGGATATAAAAAATCCTTCTTAGCTGAACAGGTTTTTAAAAGTAATTCACCTGAGCAACGGAGACTTGAAGACAGCCCAAGTTTTCAAGTACACAACCCTCTAAATTTTTTTATATGACCAAATGAGGTGTAATTGGAAGGGATATGAAGCTTTTCCCCTCAGGGGAGTTTGCAACAACAATTGAACCTGAAATAATGTACAGGTATAGAAAAAGGAGCGTTCCTAGACGAATTCGTTAGCCTTCCGGGTGAGCTTCCAGTTAGTTCACCTTAAAAGCAGCTCCAATTTTGAGTTGTGAGTGAAAGTCATTATGCCGAATAACTCTTGCGCTATGTCAGAATCGCATCTAATTCGAACTTGCTCAGCATTATTCGTAGGCGACAGACGATATCAAGACGACATTGGGAGATTATAAGTACCGTTCAGTAAGGTTTCACTATGAGATCTAGCGTGCATTCCCAAATGCTGTGAATTGTATAAGACGAGCTAGGGACATCTGTTGCACTAGAGCTCTTAAGCCATATTTATTACACCACAGCATAACAATTACAAACAACAATAATTTAACGGAATTAGAGTCTAACAATAAGTGGTAACAATAAATCAATCTGAGCTACTTATTTTGGTTATCACAGCAATGAAATTACCCTGTTCTTTTTCAATACTGTCTATTTGGCAGCCACCAACAGATCGCAGAAGTTCTTCCATTTCTCCTTCAGCAAAAACGTGATAGTACCTGAAAGTGTGGCAAGAAGGCATGTATTTGAGTAAAAAAAGTGCGTCTTCTCAATTCCGGATTAGCAATTCTTCTAGGCCATCTGAAGCAGGAGGAATGAAAGAGTAAAAATTCAAAGTGTAAATGCCTTTATCGCATAACTTCATTTAGAAACAAAGAGTGAAAATTTGATTCCAAGTGAAGTCATACGATAGATGCGTTCTAGAGACATCAAATCCAACACTAACAGTGGAACCCCAAATCTTGATACTACCAGTACCTGAAAAATGTTTCGTCTGTGTCGTCTATCCTCCATGGTACAAGCATATCTTGCTGGACGAAATTTTTTCCGTCATGAATCAACAGCCTATCCTGCTGCACATCAACACTGCAGTCCTACAAAACGTAACCATCAGTAGCGTGGACAATAAGCGAAATGTTGTATTTGACGAAATCATACGCAGAAGCATTAAACGGCCTTTCATGGAAGGATTGGAAGCAGATAGAGTTCTTCAACAAACGATATAAGATCTTAGATTTGTGCAAAGCATAGCTGAGACTTACGTACGATAGTTACGATACCCCCTTTCTAGTCCTCTGCCCTATCGCGTCCATAAACTCATCAGCATCCCATTCAAAGGTGGGAGTCTTTAATAATTCCTTCATAGTCATTAACGTTGTAGAGCTTACCACTCAAAATACCCATTTTTTTTTTCAGAATATGAGTGCACATGAAAAGGTGGTAGACTCTTAAGTTTTTACACGCCCCTTTGATTAAGACATACTTTGAACCGAACATTTGCTTCTCATACTGCACTGGAGACTAGACCCATCTCGGGGCCTAAAATCCTCACTAGGTTCCATCTTCCCATGATGGGCTGCGATTGTATGCCTTTATTTGCTCGAGATATAGTTTCATTCAGATTCTCAAGTTCTTACACGCCACGTTGATTCAGACGGGGGGGGGGGGGGGGGGGGGANCGGGGGGGGGGGGGGGGGGGGGGGGGGGGGGGGGAATAACGTGCGTCCGAGGATAGGTATAGGTATAGGTTTATTACGTGTGCAGAAGGTACAAGTGCGAAAAGTACATCGACAAAACACCGAAAACTAATACATTTTCCATAGAGTCAAGCCAAATGTCAAAAACTTGCAGTAATAAATGGGTTTTAAAGTTCAGTAGTCTGTCTCATAAAAACGCTCTTACTCTGTGTCATATATTAACAGCATTTTAGCAATCCGATGTTTGAATTGAGCCAAAGATATGTTCAACGGTACTTTTTTTGAGAGCATTAAATAATGACTGAGAATGCGCGCAGCAACTTGCGCGTCGAAGTTCGTGATCATTTGTACGACTCTGGCGCCACTTTTCGGGGCATAAACTCTAAGCAGAGTAGTTTAGTAGGGTCAGATGATCCTTCTAATCTATCCTACTTAAATTTTGGGCCACATTGAAAGGCGCTAAAGTCGTTCAAACCGTTACGAACTTTGCCGCACAACTTGCCGCGCGCATCCTGGGACGCACGTTTGTCCACATACTCATTCAGACGATTTGAGTCATTCAGCTATTCATAGATAGAGTGAGGCTATTCAGCAGGGTCGACATTTACCTCGGTACCCTCTATTACCTACCTAGTAATGAGAATGACAGACAAAGCTCATTTATGAGATAGTTATGAAACCTCTCGTTTGGAGTTGGCGAACAATTCATGGCACGCCAGATCCCATGCTGATTGAAATATTCCATGGCACCCTTTTCTGGTTGAAAACGGAGCGATGGCTCAGCTTCTCTACACATCGACCTTGCTCTAACAGTTACAATAATCGGGTTGCGGATGAGCAACCCCATGCAACGCTCACATTTTCTCACGACAGACATGCATCATAAGTGGCGCCGAGACTTTCGCTTACCCAAACCAATCAGTAAGAGAAAAGCGAAAACAAAAAAGAAAAATTACAGTAAGGTGTGTTACGAATAAAACAAGATCATTTCATGAGTAATTCAACAAGGCTTTAAAAGAAGGATCTGATGGATCGCGTGCGTCAGTGAGAGACTAACCTTGTTTTCCCTCATCTTTGAATATTCCGAATTGCTCTGATCCATCGACCAGACCGTTATGCATGCCTTGCCTCCCACCTTCAAAACCTAAAGTCAAAAACTAACGACGATTAATTCCTAGCGTCGGCGTCAACAAATCTCGAAGGGCATAAAAGCCTTTGAAAAGATTCGAGAACAAACAAAAAGCAGCAACAAATTGATAATCCACCCTTAGGATTTCTCCAATCAACTTTTGACGTCGCGATAGCACTGCCATATGATGTAGAACCGCTATAGACAAAACTGCGTCTGCTCCTTCTCGGAAAGGAAGACACAGGCCATCTGCGTGAACAACCATGCATCCCTGAAATGATAGAAGTGTCGGAGAGCAAAATTTCAACAAGGACGATCGAGAGAAATCAATTTCATTCAATTCGTCAGTGCTGATAAAGAACCTTTTCGTGACTCTTATCCTCAACGAATCAACTGCTAACTTTCTAAGAAGTGTGAAATCAAGGATTTGACTTCGAACGTAACCGTCTTCGCCCACTTCACTGACCTTTGCTGCAGCAATCTCACACAGCATTCGGCTCATATCGCATCCGATCTGAAATGAAAGGGCGCTCAGACCATCACACAACATGCACAGCAATAACATTTTTTGATCACTGATAGACTTCCAGGTGAGACGTTAAATTTAGTTACCAACCAAAAGTCCTTTTCTTTTTTTTTCGGGGAGAAATATAAATTTGGAAGTTTACATTCCAATGTCACTTTGTATTAGGATTCAACTGCATTTCCGATATACCAAAATGTATTGACAGTGCAGTTGAAGTCGATTAGTCGCATATATTCAGTGAAGTCAACCTTGCAGAGCCGATCTTCTCGAACCAAATATTTTCCGTTTCCGCAGCCAACATCGTAAACTATGGAGAAATCAGGTAACGAGTCCAAAAATCTGCAATATCGGTTGTTTGAACCTAATGAAGAGAAGCCTTGAAATATAGAAATTTACGTGAACGACAGAAATCTGCAAACAACCTTTTTACTCCGGCCCAACTGGAGAACCTCGTCTCATCAAAATGGGAAGCAATACTCTCATACACACCATTCACGTATAGTTGTTCCAAACGTTCAGCGGAAGTGTCATCTGATGGAACAGCCATTTCACCTACAACGTCTAACACTGAGATCAGTCATTGGTTCAAGGAAAGAAAGCATGTATTGGACGATTCATTCATAAGAAGTGTCTATAAATTTGTGTGCTCTTCTACCCGATGAGCTTTTCTCATTCCAATGAGTTCAGAGAACGCAGGAATGGGATATGCAGAAGATCGCATGACGTCGAGTTTGCTATATGGGGAGAAGGACAAGCGTAGGGAGGGCGCAGCTGATCCACGACTGAACTGCCTTAGAGACAGCACCAAAGACTCTAATTTTGTCACCGCCGCGCTATTTTTTTTTTCAAAAATCGAACCCACTGCGGTGCTTTGGAATTAAATTCCAGCTATGGTGCGTTATTTACTATGCATGAAGTATCGATGTATGGAGGACCTCGCGACAAAGAAAGATAAGGTGGAAAATGGCTTTATCATAACATCTCACACCCTTACCGAAAAACGTTGACAATCAGAGGAGAGAAGAAGGAGGGGAACCCTTTATCTGCTCGCAAATTCTACTTTTTTACGAATATATATCGAAATTACCGAACTTCTGTCGCGCGAGCCGTAAGACTAGCGCTGTACACATCGGCTGATGATCATAGAAAAAAAGAGAGGGGAGCGATCAGTTTTGGTCTAACCTGCGAGGTTTGATGCCGCCGTGGTTCATGGCTGCTTTAGATAGCAAAAGCAGGGGAACTAAGCGACGAAATGAAACTGTAAGAAAAGCTGGGACTATGAAATTAAACAAAGAAGCAGAATTTGGGACTGACCTTCCCTGTCCCAATCACAAAACTCCTTGAATTGACACTGGCAGGGTTTATGACGTATCTTCCGCAGGGTTATAGATATACGAAGTTGACGACTAGTTACTCGATGTGTAACCGGGTTAATATCGTGTTTCCGATTGACAATTCTACAATTGCATTCAAATGAAACGTTGCGCAGTTGCGTAAACAAAGGTTAACTTATTTAAATGTTGAAAGACAAACCACTGACAACGTACCCATGCTTCCAACGATATCTCGACTCCCCTTTAATCAAACAAAGTGATCGCCGCTTCAAAAGCACCGGACAAATTCGAGCCGAATTTGCTCCATCTTTAAATTCCATCACGACGTCAGAGCACATACTGAAAATAACTGGCTCAAGCTGGTCATTCACAGAACGGAGTTATCCTGATGTGGCTCTGTGGTAGTTGTCGAGGTGATTTTAGCTTATTAGCCATCAGGAGCTAACTGGAATTAGGAGGATTGCTTCTGAGAGACTAATTGTAAGTAAAAAAGGAAGCGAAAGGAAGAGGGGCAGTTAAAAACGGATTTAGGAAAGCCGACTAACTAGGAAGAACTAGTCGTGAGAAAGGTTTGCGAATGAGCGATTGAAGAAATGCATGGATACATAAGGGCAACTTTTGGAGGAGAAAAAGCAACCAATTTGTACAACCGACCTCAAGCACACGATAGGGTCTTCAAAAGCCGAGTGCGTGTCATAGTGAGAGGGTATACCTTGACCAGGTTCGTAAACGTTGATCGTAACCTCGAGAGAACTCGGTGAAAACGCATAGATTAGTAAAAGAGTTACCACTGCTACCTGGTCCGGTCGAAAGTTAACGAGACCATCACCCACTATGCGGTCCACAAATCGTTCAATCAAATCAGGAATTGGATCAGTAGGCTTGAAGGCAGCATTAGCACTGTAGTCAAACTCAAAACCGTAATGGATGACAGCTCGATGTTTTAAAGACTTTGCTGTAACGAAATTTCATTCAGGTTCACGAGAATTAGAATTGAAATTTTATGTACTGTACCACGTCCTGAGGTTAGAACCATATTCAGCAGCTCCTCCTCTTGTGCTTCAGTAATGTAATCCTCCAAGAGAACAAGATCGGCTGGGAGCAGTTGTTTGTCAAAAGACCCTCCTCTAGGCACTGAAAATCATTGTGTGACGACGTATGTTGCTAAGCATCCAAATGAAAAAACTGTTAAAGAGGGAAAAAGATTCCTAAAAGTAGGACTGCCTGTCGATGCCTTGCGGGGTTGAGGGAGAAGGGAGGACGACGAGCAATAAGATTTTCAAACTTTAAACATTAAAAAACAGCAAAAAAAGGAATGGGCTGGGGGCAGGGTGGTTAGGGTGGATAAATCATCCTTAATGTGGGATTCTGCACACTTCTGCCTTTATTTCAAAAACGAAAACTACGATGGAGTAAGCGTAAACTTAGTTTTACACTACTGCCGCTGAATTTCCCGCTACTTCACATATAAGATGGACTTGAATCGGNTTTTCGTACACCATACTTCTTTTGTCTTCAAAGAAATAAATACTCACGTTGTTTGATAAAGGAGATCAAGAAGGGTTGATGGGAGATTTTAAGTTGCGTCGGGACCACTCCGTTAAGAGCTTCACGAGCAGCGATGGCATTTTCCTTTGACGAGAAGCTTACAAAAGAATAGGACCTGAATGTCATTAACAATCGAATGAAACAGAAGCCCCTAGTAATAAAAAACCATGAGCGATGTTACACTCACCGCTTATTAGGAAAAACAGTAAAGGTGGCATTGGAATCGAATGGAAGAAAAATCTCCTCCAATTCTTCTAGAGAAACTCCACATAGTACACTGCTGTTACTTACGAAGAGATGCTGAAAACGAAAGTAACTATAAATGTGGATACACAAGTGTGAACGAGGAACGATACCTCAGTGGGTTCATCGGAAACCTCCACATCAGGATCATGACGCCTCAGCTGTTCCCAACTTTTATGAGTTTTTCTGGCAAGTTTTGCCGGATCCAGCCTGCCGCCTAATCGTCTTTCTTTGGACGCATTGTAATCTGTGAACAACTTTTTTTTCAGAATGAATATCGATAGAAAGGAACTGATAGAAGGCTCACACATGACTTCTGCGTCTGGATCAATCCGCGGTGGCTAAACTGCAGCTGTTTTCGGAAAAGTTTGACGGCTTCCCATGACAACTCGTCCACACCTGGACCGTATATGCTACAAAGTTCGAAGCTCTTTTACTCCCTCATGGCCAGTAAAATGATGTATGCAAGAGACAGGGAGGGAATTCTCCAAAGACATAAATAAGAAAAAAAAAGAAAGTTGAACAAGGACAAACTCATGCCATGCTGCTACGTGCGCGTCTGCGACCGTGGGAACCCGAGTAAAAGTCTGCCACCGATTGAGACAATGGTTCTCTCATTACATGTGCTCCCTCCATATTATGAGAAAATACGATTAATTTGAATAACAGAAGACAAAAGTTTACTCCTACTGACCATTCCTTCGTTGGAGTACTGGAGAGCTCCTTCTCACCGTACCTCTCCACTGTGCTCGGCGTCCCTAAACCTAGGATAAAGGATAAAATCTCGGAGCATTAAGCAATCCCGTCTGGGGGGTGCGCCCACGCATTCGACTTCCATTCAGGATCGTAGGGGCGTGTTGAATGCGTATCTGGCCTGTACAATAACTTGCGGTGGCCAGCCGATGTACAAGTCAGTGCTTTCATCCTCCAGACGACCCCGGAGGAATGGAAGGCTTGTTTGGCCTGGACGGGTATTGACCCGCGAGCGACCCTTTATCCCTTGATAACCCTGTGCCCCGCGCACCCCCTTTACGTGTGAAAACTGAGCTTCAAAAAAAGCAATCACAGTGAAATTAAAAGGGCTTCAGTTTAACTCAGATATACATCGCTTAATAGTAACATATTACACAACTATGTGACGTGGATCGACGCCGAATGGTGGTCTTGCATGGGGCTTCGTAACAAATAGGGCAGTTGATACCGAACTATATGAGGTCTGATGAGTCGTCTTTTATTACTGCATTTCGCACACATGCTGGTGTACTTTGGCAATTTTTTTTGCCATATTTACTGTAATCTGTTGATTTCACTGTTTTCTTGAACTCTTCAGAGGTTTGTAAGCAAGTTTTATTAGGCTGACGACGATATCTCCTTCAGAACCTGAAAGGATCATAACAATGTGTGATTGTACCCGACCAAACGTCTCCACCAACTCACCGAAGTACGAGACCCCCCAGGGCACGCAAGTGATCGAAAGGAGAGGCACTCACCGTAGCTTAGTGGATTCTTCGAAACCACCCTGCAATGATCGTACCAGCCGACCAGTGTCAGCTGGAGTTAGTCATCATTCAAGTCACTGCGGGAAGACTCATCTTATATAAGGCCGCAGCTCCATTATATGTATAAATGGACACGATATGGCTTTGTCGAGTGGCTACTACAATTTTTCAACTACACGTAGAGCTTCTGCTGGCGGTTTGATCATCAGACATGGTAGTACTTCAATGGAAGCAAAGATTCCTCTTGTGCTACCATTTATTTCTGATGAGATGAGTGCTTCTATCAGAAAAGATCAAGATGTTCAAAGAGATCGGGTTTGGAAAGTTTAGCTGCTATTGTAAACGTAACACCCTACAATCTAAAGAAGCGCCCAGTTCGAAATAGGCCAAAGTACAACCCCTGGTCTGTCCAGCTGGAAGAGAAGCTGATTGTAACATGTCTGGGGTGGTCTATAAAATTATAATACTTGTCGTGATTGTGGTGATAAGTATATTGGCGAGACGGCAAGACACTCCACCCCATGCGAAGGTTAAGGAGCGCATAGATGGTATAAGACGATTGAAAAAGTCTACTGTCTTAGGGAGTCACCGAATTCGAAAGCATAACGGAGGTGTTTTTGAGGTCACCGTGAAGGTCGTGGCACGGCAATCCCTCGAGGCATTTTGGATACAAGTCACTGATCCAAAAATGAATCATAAGGAAGAATGTCTGGCAATCACGCGGGATTGGTATATAAGATTGGCCTTCCCGCAGTGACTTGAATGATGACTAACTCCAGCTGACACTGGTCGGCTGGTACGATCATTGCTGGGTGGTTTCGAAGAATCCACGAAGCTACGGTGAGTGCCTCTCCTTTCGATCACTTGCGTGCCCTGGGGAGTCTCGTACTTCGGTGAGTTGGTGGAGACGTTTGGTCGGGTACAATCACAGATTGTTATGATCCTTTCAGGTTCTGAAGGAGATATCGTCGTCAGAATAATAAAACTTGCTTACAAACCACTGAAGAGTTCAAGAAAACAGTGAAATCAACAGATTACAGTAAATATGGCAAAAAAAAACTGCCAAAGTACACCAGCATGTGTACGAAGGCATCTTTCANAGTCCACGACCGGTCACTTGACTGATCGCGCGGGACCGTCCACGGCGGCACCCATAACTAGCGCGGCCTCCTCGACCGATCGAGCGACCAGTGGCGCGATCAGTCAAGTGACCAGTCGAGCGACCGAACGCGCGACTGATCGCGCGACTGGTCGCCAGTCGCTAGCGACCGGTCGTGGACTATGAAAGATGCCGAAATGCAGTAATAAAAGACGACTCATCAGACCTCATCTAGTTCGGTATCAACTGCCCCATTTGTTACGAAGCCCCATGCAAGACCACCATTCGGCGTCGATCCACGTCACATAGTTGTGTAATACGTTACTATTAAGCGATGTATATCTGAGTTAAACGGAAGCCCTTTTAATTTCACTGTGATTGCTTTTTTTGAAGCTCAGTTTTCACACGTAAAGGGGGCGCGCGGGGCACAGGGTTATCAAGGGATAAAGGGTCGCTCGCGGGTCAATACCCGTCCAGGCCAAACAAGCCTTCCATTCCTCCGGGGTCGTCTGGAGGATGAAAGCACTGACTTGTACATCGGCTGGCCACCGCAAGTTATTGTACAGGCCAGATACGCATTCAACACGCCCCTACGATCCTGAATGGAAGTCGAATGCGTGGGCGCACCCCCCAGACGGGATTGCTTAATGCTCCGAGATTTTATCCTTTATCCTAGGTTTAGGGACGCCAAGCACAGTGGAGAGGCACGGTGAGAAGGAGCTCTCCAGTACTCCAACGAATGATTGGTCAGTAGGAGTAAACTTTTGTCTTCTGTTATTCAAATTAATCGTATTTTCTCATAATATGGAGGGAGCACATGTAATGAGAGAACCATTGTCTCAATCGGTGGCAGACTTTTACTCGGGTTCCCACGGTCGCAGACGCGCACGTAGCAGCATGGCATGAGTTTGTCCTTGTTCAACTTTCTTTTTTTTCTTATTTATGTCTTTAAAGAATTCCCTCCCTGTCTCTTGCATACATCATTTTACTGGCCATGAGGAAGTAAAAGAGCTTCGAACTTTGTAGCATATACGGTCCACGTGTGGACGAATTGTCATGGGAAGCCGTCAAACTTTTTCGAAAACAGCTGCAGTTTAGCCATCGCGGATTGATCCAGATTTATCGAAATGACCGCCGCCATTCCTGGAATTGAGGCAATTATCAATACCAGACCTCTTACGGAAGTTAGACTAATGGATCTCAATAAAATACCGCTAACCGTTCGACTTCTTTCAAGGAAATTTGAAGTTTGCCCTAGCACAGGCAGCTCAAAATAGCGATCATTCCAACCATGACTTCGATCCGGAATTCATTCAATCGGTGTCGCAGGCGAAACAAGCGAACGCACACTTGGAAACGATTCCGGTCAAGCTCTGAGGAAAGTGGAACACAGAGTACTTTACAGCTATACAAAGAAAGTGAAGCAACACAGACATATCTCCCCCAAATATCCGCAGTTAGGAGAAATTGTGATCGTGGAACAAGAGAACCCTTCTAAGAGGACACTATGGCAAAATAATAGAGCTTATGAAAAGTGCTGACAGTATGAGTAGGTCAGTAAAAGTCAGAATTATCACACTACCATTGTTTTCTTACCGATTAATTTATTCTTACTGACGCCTCTAACGCCTTGCCGCGCTCCCGCGCTTTGATCTGCTCGTGACCCCACATCGATATGCGCGCCCACATATGAACCTTTGGCGCTAGGACTGAGTCTCTTTTGATTTTGTTCTGGTTGGTTGCTCTCCTCTGGGCCAAGATTCAACCACCCCCCCCCCCCTCATTGTCGTTTATATTCCGGTTTCCTCAGAGCTTCATTCCAGCTCTCTCGTTCCCTAATTTTTCTTGTGAGTTTTCTTGTAGCTCTGACAAAAAACACTTGTTGTCTGTTTCTCTGTTGTCTAGGTGGACCCGGTCAGTGCCGGGCGAGAACCATCTACTTTATTCTCAATTACACCGTTTTGCTTAGAACGCTTAACAAAATAAGTCCTCTTGATATTCGCTCCTACGACGAAGCATTATAGGAGAACATAGCGGAAACGAGAGTAATACGAACCCGGTTACGACAACAGCATTGAAAAAAGCAAGCGAAGCAGGAGACTACTTCACACGCTCCTCGCAGAAATCAAGAGAGAGCCTCGAAAATTCAAGCATACAAGGTTATGCAAAAAATTGAAAGGCATTTGAATAACAACTCTAATCACGCCTATGCAAACTGCGCGAATGGATGATGCTTAACATCATTCCATGTATCATCCATCCCTCTATGTATCATAAATGCAGGGACGGCTCGTAACAGCTGTGGATAACAGGACAGGTCTGTCACGAGAAGATCACATGCAAGGTACCGCAAGGAACTTCCCCGCCAGGGATCAAAAGAGCCAGAAATTCACTATAAAAGGCAGGTGTTGCCTCTTAGGAGCTCTCCCTCTGTGCTCAATTATGCCTCATCGAGCACCTCTTTTATCTACGACCTACAGTCGACGCGCACCTTCCCCACGCTCCGTCCACTATTTTCAGATCTCACGGCCTAAAAACGGTCCAGAAGCCAGTACCCTTCGTGGCGCCGGACACCACGTCTACCAGAGCTCCCCTCGTCGCACTGGATCCCACTTCTGCCAGTGCTCCTCTCAATACGCCGGCCCCCACATTCTTGAATTTCTTCGATTTCTTTGATATCATTCGTCATATTGTAATACGCGTTGTTCAAGTA